CCTGCTTCTCCCTCTCCCGCTCCCCCTGCTTGTGTTCCCTCTCTCACTGTGTCTCTCTCTGTCAAATAAATAAATAAAATCTTTAAAAAAAGAAAGTCTTTTCTTTGCAGCATTTGTGAATTTTAGGGCAAGAAATTCATCTTAGCTGTGACATTCTGTTAAATAAAGCCCCTCTTTCTCATAATCCCATTTGAAGCTCTATACATTTTTACACCATGAAACACACACACACGCTGTTGAATGCAAACAAGAACTAGGAGGACACCCCCAAAATGACCTAGTACTTCTCCCTCCTTCCGAGGGGAGCTTTCATTTCGTGGTCCCCAAAAGGATTTTTTTTAAGAATTTATTTATTTATTTGAGAGAGAGAGAGAGCTCCCGTGCATGAATGGGGGTGGGGGTAGAGAGAAAAGCAGACTCCCCGCTGAGCAGGGATCCCAATGCAGGGCTCCATCCCAGGACCCGAAGACCATGACCCAAGCTGAAGTCAGATGCGTAACTGACTGAGCCACCCAGGCGCCCCCCACCCCCAGAAGGATTTTTAAACATCAACACTATCTACCTAAGGAGGGGTGGTAGGAATATCTGATGACATGACCTCACCTCCGAGACCAGTGAGAGGATACTGATTAGGAAACACAGGTTGGTATCAGGGCCCTGAGGGTAGCAGCAGAGGCCCAGGCACACCCCATCCAGCGGCACACAGAACTCCAGTTACGTCATTCCTCACGCACAGGGTCGCAGCGAGGGTCCAGTGAGATTCTATCCGCAGAAACGCTTCCAGAGCTGGAAGGCACTTGGCATTATGACCTGATCTGCTTGTGACAATGCCACACAGAACTGGTCCTGCAACCAGGAGCACACATCGTGCTGCGGTCAGAACAGGCTGCAGGGTATCCTTTCTTAGGATTGGTGAACCCATCTGGGAGGCAATGTTGCTCTATTTTGATCTCCCCCCCATTTCAATAATTCAAGGAATTGGGAGTGACAGACATCCATATCACAAGGTGGTGATGATAGGAGCTCTGACCCGAAAGGAAAACGTATACACACCCCAGCCAGCTGCCCTTCCTACCGATCATACCAGAATCTAGCCTTGCAAAGGCAGTTCCTTGCCTGCACATCCTCACAGGGAAACAAAGTTGAAAGCCAGTTGTTTTTGCTCTCCTTATGGCTCTGGCTTGACTGGAGGATGAGAGATCTAGACCACAACAAATCCGTAGTCCAAACCCAGTTTCCCATAAAACCACAAATCCCGTCTTGAGGTTCTAGCCACGTCACTTCAACATGATTCTTGATTTCTCCTCCTCAGTTACCAATGTACTCTCATAAATACAGGCCAAGAAGATGCGGTTCCCTGAACTTGGTTTTGTGTGTTAGTGGTTTGGCTGCAGCTTTTCCTATCTTCCCCAGCATTAATCACCTCATTGCAAGGCTGTGTCTTGGCTCCATATGTTTGAGTCATATTTGATGCTTACATAAAATCTGGGCCAATATTAGTACTATTTCTGTTGGTTTGTTCCGATTTGGCATTCCACGTTATGCCCCCAAAACTTAGAGTCACCTCTGTCTCCTTGTACCCACAAAGCCCAATCGCACAATTCAGACTTGCAGGCAACAGAAAGCTTACTAGATGGAGGACAACACAGCGAAAGGCTGTATGTAACACAAGGAAGCACCCACGGACACTTAGGGCGGAGCTCGGGAGTTCACGGGCTGCGCTTTCTCGAGGGCGGCCTCACTGAAGAGGCAGCTCCAGTGTACCCGCATAGAAACACCTTAGCAGGTATTTCTTAAATAAGCTTACAGAGCATTTTGCTTCTTACAGAACTGATGTTCTGAATGAATGCCTTTCATGCAGAACACACCTCACATTTGAAAAGAAAGAGAGGAGACTTAGGGCCTCCAGGCTCTGTATGGCAATTTTTTCACCAAAACAGAACCAGAAGAGTTGGCCTTCCATTAGTTGTTGTTGTCGTTGTGTGTGCCCGTGCGTGTGCATGTTTAAGATGCCAGATTAAGTGTGTTTACAAAAGATTCACATAGGAATCATGAGGTTTATTGAGCATCACTGGAAAATAACACCCTCCCATCCAACATCCCATTTACCTGGGCTTTCATGTCAGTGAATGCAGTGTGCCCCATTCCCTGCTCCACTCTGCTCCAAAAACCTGTTCACTATCAATGTTTTCATGGAAATCAAGCTGGGGCTCATTTGAAGCATTTGGGCAAACAGACTAGAAGGCTATGAATAAGAGCAATGGATAAAAACAAGTCAGACTCAAGAATCCAAGTAGAGGTGAGACAGTCCCCTTTATAACATGGTGCATTGTTTTATGAATTCACATGAACCTTGATCAGTCTCCTAAAGCCTGACAGCCAGGTAGAAGAAAGATCTGAAGCAGTTTAGCCTGTAAGAGGGGTGTAAGTCTGATACTTCAACAATAATATTAAAAATCAAGGGAGAGGACTCCCTAACACTACCTGGATATGTTCGACAGCTGTTTGACAAGCAATAAGCAGAGTCTGATCGAACAATTCTTTTCCTGCAGAGGCTACTGAGCCGCTTTCTATGTAGATGCATCTTAGGCAAACATATAACTGCTTCGAACAGGTCTCTGTCTCAGGTGGGTTTCCCTAGAAGCAAAACCTGAAATGAGGATTCTTTAAAAGTAAGTTATTAGGCAGTGCTCTTAGGAGAGGGAGAGAGATGCAGGATAGGGCAGGGGTAGGAGCTAAGGAAGGATGGGATCCCGGCTGGATATTAGCTTCAGCCTGATCTCAAGGGAAACTTACACCAGAGTCATCCCAGGTTGAGGGTGGGGCCAGACTTCTCTGAGCCCTTAGCAACAGCTGAGGGATGGGTGCACCAGCCAGGTAGTAGCTGGACACTAACAGATTCGTGGTGGTAGTTAAGCTGATGGGACTGAATCTCTAGGAGCCATACTATGTGGTAGGAGATATGGTTCTCATCCTAACCCTGACTTCACTAAAAACATAATGCTATGGCCATGGGCCCTTCAAATGACCTCTGTAACCATCAATTTCCTCATCTGTAAAACGGGAGAGGGAGTGGCAGGGTTGGATTAGATGATCTCTATAATTCCCAGCTCCGAAATGCAATTATTTCAACAACAGAAGTAGGGGTAGCCTCACTGAGGAATAATTGACATTTTTCCTATTCATGGAAGGAAGTTAATTAATGTAAATGTGTCCCTGAATGACCACTCCATTAAAAACTCTTCTCTCACCTGGAATAGCTCTGGATACAAAGGCAAATCTAAGAAGACAAGCAGTAAAGTTGCCCTGAAGGCATAGGTTCTAAAAAGGGATGGCAAGGCTCTGTTTTCAAACAAGTACTCTCAGAGCAGTTAACCTCAAGGGAGCATTAATGCAACCAGGCAACCTCATTTAACTGACTCCTACATCAAAGCAAATTAGAAGCAAGAGGCTGGAGTGAAGCGTGAGCCACAGGCTGTCCCCGCAAAATGGCACCACCTCTATGAAGAGCAGTTGGGCAAAATCTATCAGTTCTAAATACATTGACTCTTTGACCACACAGCCCCTTCTCCGTGAATTTACCCTGCGGGCACATGTGTATGAAATGACCTTTACATGAGCTTATTCGCTGTGTACTTTTTCCAAAATAATCCAAGATCAGAAACAACTCAGTGGTCCATCAATAAAGGACTAGTTCAGGGCACCTGGGTTGTTCAGTCCTTAGGCGTCTGCCTTTGGCTCAGGTCATGGCCCCAGGGTCCTGGGATCGAGCCCCGCATCAGGCTCCCTGCTCAGCGGAAAGCCTGCTTCTCCCTCTCCCACTTCCCCTGCTTGTGTTCCCTCTCTTGTTGTGTCTCTCTCTGTCAAATAAATAAATAAAATCTTTTAAAATATAAAACAATAAAATAAAGGACTAGTTAAAAAGAACAACTGTGGTAGCTTCCATACAATAGAATACTGTAAAACCAAGAACATTCTGGATGGACATGGAAAGTTTTCCAGGAACATCGATAAGTGAAAAAGCAAGGGGAAGAACAATATCATTCTAGACCAGTATGTATATTACGAACATATATGCATGTGTAATATAAGTGCGCTCCTTTCTGTATTCAAAATGGAGGTAACAAGATTATATATTTATATTCAAATGTATCCTTAGGTATCTGGAAGTTGTTTTTTATGTATCTGGAAAAAGATGCAAATAAAAAACTTATATGAGTGGTTACCTATATGGAGTGAGGGAGTGGGAAAATGGGATGGATGCAGACATAAGTAGAAATTAGAATTCTTACCAATGTCTTTTTATAAATTTTCATCCTACATTTTTTCCCCAACTACCACTGGCTCTTCTGTAAGGAAAATGCAGCTGCTGCTTGATTAAAAAATAAAATAAAATAAATTTAAAAGCGGGCATCAATCAAAGCTGGTCCTTCCAATTTCCCTTATTTCATGTTTTAGTGTTCAGGGATTGGCCAGTGGCTAACTGTATGACTCACAATGGCGAAAATACTTCCTGTCTGGCGCTCTACAGAAAGTGTGCCACGTCCAATGTTAAACCACAGAGTTGATTGTTAAACCACCGTGACTACACCCATCAGTGAGCTTTGGGTACTGAAGAGTGTTGTTTTCTTCAAATCAGCTTTTCTGACCACGGATAGATCGATCATGAACCAGGAAAATGAGGTGCGATACTGTATGGAGCAGTACAACAAGAACAGCATGAACTCAGGTTTCAGTCTGGGCTATGTCCCTCACTGCTACGTGATCATGGGCAACTTCTCAAACTCTCAGTTTCTTCCTCTGTAAAAGGCAGATAGTAATAGTGCTTCCTTCATAGAGTTGTTTGGAAGGTTAGGTATGTTAATGCATGTTGGCAAGAAATTTAGCACAATACCTGTTGGTACTGTCATCTAATATTTTGATTTTTTTTTTTTTATGTACAGGGTGATGACCAGTTAAATGTATTTGGAGAGGACACCATGGGAGGTGAGTTTCCTTTACTAATCAGACCAAAGTTGTGTTTTAGTAGCTTTGAGCATGTGTTCTTTATTAAACACCAACTGAAAGACAATAAACTACAAACAGCATATACTTTTCCCTTAGCCAGGCTCCACGATTCAGATTGGAACTCTTGGGATTTTTCCCCTCTTGGTCCATGCAAAGAACCAAAGGGACACCTTACTTAGAGAAGCATTTCCTGACTACCCAGAGAACATGACCCTCGACATGTTCAGTGAAAACAGAATGTTCTGGGAAAAATATGTCTGGGAAACACTCAATCCCCTTTGGAAGAGGTACATGTAACAGCATAGCAAGACTCCCACAAGTCTTGCAATAAATTCAGCTGGCTAACTTTAATTTAACATTCTTCAGATTTGTTGGAATTCAGAAGTCTTTTTCCTGCATAGTAGTTACTAATCTGCAGTGTGCCGTTGGGATGCAACCTAAGAAACACCCAAATTATCCTGCTTTATAACTGTTGTCATGTCAAAAGGCTTGCAACAACTAAAAAATCCAGTGTTAACTAGCTACAAATGGAACTGAAAGTAGATAAAACTATGTGAATTTGAGATTGTCCAAAAGAGGTAAGGTTCCTGGTTGCCCTAGGTAAAGTACCTTCTAACATTTCCACTCAGTAATAAATGTTGCTGTAATTATGGTTCATGAAAATATGTTTGTATTGACTGTGAGCACATACAAGTAAGTGATCTGGCTTTCCAAATAACCCCAGCTCTAATTCTACACTGATCCATGAGCATGAGGTGGTAGATAAAGTGCCATTTGATGATAATGGCTATAGCAGTATGTGAAAATCTCAGTTACCAAATGACATCATGGTGATTCATGAGGAAAGGCACATACACATGAGCCAAGTGCAAATAATCAACCTAGTCTCAATTGGATAGGGATTGATTGATTGTTTAATAAAGTTTCCCTTTTTCCTGGTTATAAGATTACATGCATTCATTGTGGAAATATTTTTAAGGTAGAAAATAAGAGCTATCTAAAATCTTATGACCTCTAAATAATCATGGTTAACATTCTAGTATATTTTATTCCAGTGTGTTTGCTATATACCTATTTTTACATAGTGGAGAATACATGTGTATATACAAATGTTATTTTTGTGTATATCATAATATAAGAATATTCTCATGTCATTACAAACTCTATAACATTAACTTGTGATGACTACACTGTATAAATGTTTCATCATAGGTACAACTATACCTAATAATAACCACAGACACTTTCCTAGATTGCAAATAAATTAAAAGTTGCTCTGCTTTATATAGAATTGCTGAATCACTATATTGTATACCTGAAACTAATATAACCCTGTACATTAACTATATGGGATTTTTTTTTTAAAAATCGTTGCTCAGCTTCAAAAAAGGAAGCTGGAAGTCTAGAGAACATGAGATGACCATCTGGTCCATGAGTTAAAAGCACCAATGTATGTGCCTTTAATAGAAAGCTCCAGATAACATAGGATTTTTCCAGTCACTGTAGGCTATTCTGTAAAGAGACTGCAGCATCTCTTTGATTAGAAAGAATAAAAAAATTTCATCCCTCAGTCTGAAAACCAAATGTTTCCAAAAACCCCAAATTCACATCTCTCCTCTGATTTTAGCTTCCCTGTCCCCTTCCCCTCTTGTTCCCGACCCAATTCTTCTTGTCCCATTCTCTCTCTGGAATTGGGTCTTTCCCTCAGCTAATAGTGAATTCCAGCAAAAAGGTGGCATTGTGTATATAAATGAAGCATCCCAATTCTACTGAAAAGCAAGTTTGATAACTGTCAGAGGAGCAATCTAGCTTTCAGAAGTACTTACCATCTACATAAAATGTGAAGTGGAAGTCAGAGTCCTATCAGTTCATTTTAAGTGTAAAGACTGCAGTTTGTCACCAAGATGGGAAATAAAAACCTTGTACTCTCTCTCCGGGTAATCACATTCCCTCTGTCATTTTAGTAAACTCACACCCATAGGATGAGCAAAAGCAGCTGCTTCCAGAGCCAGGAGAAGAGTCCAGAGCTCCACCTAGATGGAGAACTCAGGGCTGGCTCCACCCAGTCATGCCCCTCCCTCCTGGGTCTCCCCACTGAGGGGCTGCTCCAGGAGCTTCCACAGCCCAGGGTCTGAAATGCACAGCTCAGGGGCCCGGGGTTCCAACAAAAGCACCAAATACCTTTGAACTTCAGAATCTTTACTTTAAAACTTCATGCATATTTTCCATGAAGTGAAAAATCACGATATCCTACGTCCTAATATATTACTGTCTGTTCAGCGTATATTGTAGTTTGAAAAGCACCTCTCTTAGCATAGGGGTTAACAAGAATTATAAAGTCTTCAAAATTATCTTTAGTTACTCCATCTGCGGTCACATATGTCCAGCTGAGGGAAGCATCTAGTCTCAGATCTATTTTGTTTGTCCAGCATGGTGCTCTAAAAATTTGACTGTAGATGTTAGCGCTTGTTAGCCATAGTTCACAACACTCCATGCCCACCCACCTCACTGGTTTAGAATCTTTGCCTGGCCTTTGCCTAAGCACATCCAAGAAACTCTTCTGAAGTTCTTTGTGGAATCAGCCTGCTGCCCCCACCCGCACCCCTGCGAGTATTAAACTAATAGGATTGACCTAACAGGGTGACATCTTCCTAGATGTCCACCTAGAAGCGCCTCCTAGAGCCGCTTCTTCAGCTTTTCACCATCAGTTGTTCAGGATGGCCTCTCCGTTGGAGCAGTACCTCCCTTAGTGGCTTGTGCAGATTCCCACTATGAACTTCAGAGCATCCTGAACTAACCTCCTTCTTCTGTGCTGTTGGTCTGCCCCCAAACTCTGTGACCCTGTCCTGGGACAGCTGAGTAGGCAGCCCATTCTCCATAATGAAAGCCCCATGGCCTTAAAGCCAGGGGGAGTTTTTGTTTCTGCTCTTCTCTGAAACATTCTTGGGTAAGGACAGCTGTTTCTTCTGTCCTCTCAGGTCCTCACTCTAAACATTTTTTTTTAGTTCGAGGATCCCCTGCTTCCAGGCTCAAATGGTAACCACTGGCTCTTTCAAAAAGCCATTTCCAATTCAAGTTTGGGTCTGTGGTCATCTCTTCAAGTAACCTCACTCTTACCCAAGGTCTCCTAGAATTTTGGTTTACTTTAGATATCTTAAACATGCGGGGCTCCTGGGTGACTCAGTCAGTTAAATGTCGACCCTTGATTTGACCCAGGTCATGATCTCAGTTCAGGGTCGTGAGATGGAGCCCAGTGTTGGGCTCTGCAATGGGGGTGGAGCCTGCTTAAGATTCTCTCTCTCGGGCACCTGGGTGGCTCAGTTGGTTAGGCGACTGCCTTTGGCTCAGGTCATGATCCTGGAGTTCCGGGATCGAGTGCCGCATCAGGCTCGTTGCTCAGCAGGGAGTCTGCTTCTCCCTCTGACCCTCCCCCCTGTCATGCTCTCTCTATCTCATTCTCTCTCTCAAATAAATAAATAAAATCTTAAAAAAAAAAAAAGATTCTCTCTCTCCCTCTGCCCCACCCCCTTCTCTAAAAAAAAAAGATATCTTAAACATGCAACAATAATTGCATCATAATTTTAGCCAAGAGACAAATGGGACCGTTTCCTCCTGTGGTCCATTCATTTATAGGAACCACAGAATCGTAGGTATTTGAACTGAGAGAGACATTAAAGATCACTACTTTACTTACAACACCTTTACTTTACAGATGGAGAAACCGAAGTACGAGGAGAGGAAGTCATTAGCCTAAGTCTAGTCAGTTGAGGACAGGAGAAAAAGTATAGCTATTGTCTACCCATCCTTCATGGCCACCTACTACACTACATGACAACTGGAAATCTTTTAGGGCTCCACAAACTCTGGAGGGTTTTGCACTTTGCCAAAAATTTCTAATCATTCTCTGCTTTGAAGTAGTAGTCCCCCTATTACAACTGTTGCTGGGAATGCAAAATGGAGCAGCCACTCTGGAACAGTATGGAGGTTCCTCAAAAAGTGAAAAATAGAGCTATACCCTATGATCCAGCAATTGCACTGCTAGTTTTTTACCCAAAGGATACAAAAAAACATATTCAAAGGGGTACATGCACCCTGATGTTTATAGCAGCATTATCAGCAATAGCCAAATTATGGAAAGAATCCAAATGTCCAGCAACTGATGAATGAATAGAGAAGATAGATAGATAGATAGATAGATAGATAGATAGATAGATAGATGATATATAGATGATAGATAGATAGATAGATAGATATAATGGAATATTACTCCGCCATAAAAAAGAATGAAATCTTGCCATTTGCAATGACATGGATGGAGCTAGAGAGTATAATGCTAAGTGAAATATTATTTCACTCATATGTGGAATTTAAAAAACAAACATAAGGGGGATAAAAAAGAGAGGCAAACCAAGAAACAGACTCTTAACTATAGAGAACCAAACTTATTGATACTAGAGGGGAGGTGGGTGGGGGATGGGTGAAGTGGGTGATGGGGATTAAGGAGTGCACTTGTTGTAATGAGCACTGGGTGTTGTATGAAAGTGATGAATCACTAATTTCTACACCCAAAACTAATATTACACTGTATGTTATCTAACTGGAATTTAAATAAAAACTTGAAAAAATAAATATATAAAAAAAAGAAAGAAAAAATAAATACATAAAGTAGTGGTTCCCAAAATTCAGTCCTTACTCTCACCATCTTTGTGATTTTTGCTTCATCTCTATACGTATATGACCTATACTGGATATTATTTACTTAATATTTTCCTCTAAGTTGGCTCACTTTTTCTTTAAATACATTTATTTTAGAAGGAACTTTTATATCACTACCTTAAATGGAAAATAGTATTATTTTCTATAAATAGGAACTGTATTTAAAATATTGTCTTCCAGAGTCCCTATTTGTGCTTTAACTCCTCTTTATTAAAAGAGATCAGCAAATGTTAAGGAAAAAATGTAAAATAACACAAAACTGAGATACTTAGAAACATTTTTAAATAATTTTAAAAATAATCTTTCTTTGTAATTCATGCTATTTAATGGCTTATCAGTTTTGCCACATAAAATTGATAGTTTGTGTTAAAATGAAATAGGTTACCTGGGTCTGGTAATAAGGCTGATATGGTCATCAGTGCCTATTAATTATGACCTATTAACACATTTACTCAGCTTGGGCTTCTTACCAAATAAAACTACAAGATTTTGGTTTTTACACAGCATGAGTAATACCAGGGTTTCAAAACAGTTTTTCTTGCCAGTAACTTAAATTATTCTTACTTTAAAGGTTTCATGGAAGATTTGAGAAAGCGTAAAATTATTTTCATGATTGGTGAGTAACCGCCCTCAAGTTTTCTAATGCAATTGCTAATAATAAACAACTTGGTAGAGAAAAAAGACTGTTCATTTCTCACTCTGCTTTGAAGTCTTGCCCCTTTTTTGGTTAGGAAAATACCCCTGAGGCTTCTGGATTGTTGCTTTTGTTTATGCAGTTTCATATTGTTTTTGGCTTTGTATCTTTACAGCATAGACAAAGTAGGACTCTAAGGAATGTCAGACTTCTGAGTTTAGCTCTACAATAATAAAATACATTATAATCCCATGGGTATGAAGATGTCGTACATCAAAATCTAACACACACAGTTTCTGTTTGAACAATGAGCCACTGCTCCCTAAACCTCACTGCTAAATATATCAGCAACCACATATTCCAATATACTTCCATAACCATACCCTGCATTCCTTTTAGCTAATGGTAAAAACTATTTCACTTATTTTATGCCCCATACTATGAAAGTCGCTGGCAAATTAAGTGTGGGATAATATTCACTTGGGGTTCACCAGCATTTTCTAAGCACCTACTGTGTTCCAGGTCATCTCATTTAATCCTTCCACAGTCTTGTAGGTTGGTGGTCTATCTTTATGACATATCTATTTCACAGATAAGGAAACTGAGGCTCGGGAAGGTAAAGGAACTGGTCCAAGGTCACATAGCTAACGAATATGAGAGCCGGATGTCATGTTTTCCCCCATGGAAATCAATGGGGCTATTTGAGCAACTGTTATAATTGCACAGAAAAGCACAAAATGTTGTCAGAGCACCTCCCAAACTTGGTACTTTTCCCTCTAATAATTCAAGTCTGTAGAAAAGTTAATACACCTACCTTTGCATTTTAAAAAAAAAATGTCTATTCATATTCAGAAATAATGAAAAGGTCCACACCTCCTCAATGAGTGGGAAAAAGAATGGTTATCAGCACCCAAGAAATATAATTGAATAAACTTAGAATCTTGCACCATAAGTCGGGATGTTGCTTTGGAAATCTCTCACTAAATCTCCCTCCTTGTCAGATGAGGAAACTGAGTCCCAGAGAATTTAAGAGGTTTGATCAAGGTCCTTCAACCAACTGGTGGCAGAGGGGAGACCAGGGCTGCAGCTCCCCAACCCAGGCCTCTCCCTACTGCACCACTCAGTTGTGTGGGTTGTGTCCCTGGACTGTCTCCCACATTCAGTCACCCACCCAATACTTACTGAGTATTGGACCCATGTGAGCAGTGAGCAGGGATCACGAGCTTCCGTCCTAGATGGAAAGAAGAACTCATCGAATTACTATCACACACTTAGGAAGGAAACAAAGAGCTGAAACAAAACAACCTGGGTTGAGTGTCTGGGGTAGACGTGGGTGATCAGAGTGATCAGGCAGGGGTTCTCAACAGAGGTGACGTTTAGGCAGGGAACTAAAGGAGGAGGTGGAGCAACCGGGAGGATTAACAGAGGTGAGAGGAGGAAGAATTCCAGCCAAAGAAAACGGCCTGTTTTGGGTAGTGAGAATTCTGGAGCCCAACCTGAGTTCTATCTCTGACCTGCTTGCCTCTCATTGACCTGAGCCATGGGAACTGGATGAACTCTTGCCACACTTTTTAAATTCTTTTCGGAAAGTAAAAGTACATTATTTCTACTCCTTAACTGAAGAGAAACTCATCATCGAAATAGTAAAGAAAATTCCCCTTTCCACATAAACTTTAATCACTCTTCTCGGCATCAAGGCCAAACACAATGAATTATATGTTCTGTTCAGCTTTTATCTTAGGGGCCAAACTGGGAAAAGGAGAGGCTCTTTAAACCTGATGTTCAGTAAACAAAGAATGAGCCTTTATTATCACATGGAAATCTGTGTTTTTAATAATGTGGTCCAAAAAAAAGCTTCTAAAAATACTACAGCATGTTTTGTGGTTATTATTTTCTCTAGCAATAATTTTATTTCAGATTTACCTGGTTTAACACTCACTATTAAATTTTGAAATGTATTTTCAAGTATCACTTCTATCTGTCTACGTATGACTAAAGATCTTGGCTCACCTGTTACCAAGACCTGGGCCCTTCACAAAGTCAAATAGCACAATATAAAATCTTTGGCATCAGACAAAGCTTGAGACCCCCAAGAGTCCACAGACTACATTCCGAGAACTGTTGCTCTGAATACAGGTTTTTCTTATATTAACCAAACTCTCCTGTATTTTAATTTATTGGCCAGTTACTATTCTAGTAAAGATTTCCGCCTACTGTTTGGGCAGTAGAAGGTACAAAACCACTGTGATATGAGGAAAAATGATTGTTCTTCTTCTAGCGTATTTACTGGACTCTGCTTGAAAATTAACGCCTTAGTTGTAAATACTTCCTTGACAGATGGTGGAGTGGTATTTTGGAGCTGTATTATTGCAGGTCAGTTCCGAAGCTCGTAAAAATACTCAGGATGTCATGGACACACCCATGGCAGTTTTGATGAGCCCTAATAAACAAGAATCCATCGATTTCAGTGAAACAAGTGTGGTGTTGCCTATATGAGAAGATAATTGAACTTTTAACTTTCAAATTATTGTCGTGACATCTACCAAGACATGTGGGGTTGTGGCATTAGCCAGAAACTAGGTTGCCATCCTCGCTGTTAGCCTGAAAATAAAAATCAGTATTCCTAAAGCACCGTCCCCCTGCTTTAAAGTATCCTCATTCCCTTTTGTCTGCAGAAAGGTGCAAACTCCTTAGACTGTCCTTCAAAGCATTCTCCCCGCTGGCCTCCACATGCCTTCTCATTTCCCACTCCAACCCCCCCGTGAGTCTGTGTTTCCAACCCCACCTGCGTTATCATTATCTCTTCAACTTCCCTCACTTCTGCCAGTCCTGTCACTTGAAATGTCTTCTCCCCTAGCTAATGATGCACCAAGGTCAGGCTTAAGTTCTAGCTCCCTGTGACGTCTTCTCTAACAGCCAGGCTTCTTCATGTGTGCTCCTCCATTGTTTGTGTCTGCATCGCTCATTTAGATACCCCATAATGACTTAGAAAAACAAATATTTGTTGGGATGATGAATTCTTTAGGAGGCAGTGTGGTCAGTTTCCATAACAACCAAAATAGCAGTTGGAATTCTTGGGCTGGAACTGACAGGCATGTTGCTGCTGCCTGTAGCTGTTCCCGGCAGGACAGTTCAGGTTAATTATGAGCCTAATCAGATGCTCCTGACTCCATTGTAGCTGCTCCCATCTACCCGAGAACAGCAACACCAGCTTACCCCACTCCCCAAAGCCAGGGCAATTTCTTGCTCATTTGCAAAATAGTTTGAAGTCGCAGTTAATAGCACTGACCACCGTCTGAGTGGAAGACATGTTTGGGGAAAGTGTACTGTCTGATCCGAAAGGAAAAGCGGCAAGGGTCGATCTAGTTAGCCCTTTGAATGTGGTGTGAATGTTACCTCTTTGTTCATGAAGAAGGCAGCTCAGTCACTGTTTCTAGAGAAATACTTTCCACAGGACAGATAAGGGATCTCACAGGATCAGGCCAGTGATCAAAAGGATTGGGAAAGGTTCTCCGGACTTCGGTAGTTCACCCACAAGACATAAGAACTGTACTGATGTACAAGACCGGGGCTCAGTCATGGCTGAAAATGGAAAAGTATTTGGATAGTGTAAAAATGTCCTTTAAAGAGCCTCATTATGTCCCACTAACAGGCTCCTACAGTTTTCACAACCTTTTCTGGTACATTTCTTTCCTTTCTCTCTCTCTTTTTTTTTTCAGTCTCTTGATTGTTATCTTGCTATTATCCAATCTATTTTGGCTTCTTTTTCCCTTCTGTGCTTTTCATAGCCTGCCTGTGCCCAAAGTGTGACATAACCTGAATTACCATTAATTCCTATCCAAAGCTTTGGTAGAAGTGCTTCAATTTGGAAAATCATCTGACTTTACAGATGAGGTGTCATGCTAATGGCATTATGGTCAAGACATCATTCTGTGAATATAACTTTCAGGATGTCAGGGACACAGATGGCTTTGTGTACCTTAGCATTAGTACTGATAAACTGCTTTTAAGTAGTAAGCTTTGGGAAGCACTTTTACAATATTTTGTGTTATTCTGTGTATTTTTAACCCAGTGCAAACTGGTCCTATTTATTTCCTTAGGGAAAACTGTAGAAATGAGAATTTTTGCTTAAAGCTCAATATTTTTTTAAAGATTTTATTTATTTATTTATTTATTTATTTGAGAGAGAGAGAGCACAAACAGGGGGAGCAGCAGGCAGAGGGAGCAGGAGAAGCAGGCTCCCCGATGAGCAAGGAGCCTGATGCGGGGCTCGATCCCAGGACTCTGGGATCATGACCTGAGGCCAAGGCAGACACTTAAATGACTGAGCCACCCAGATGCCCCTAAAACTCAGTATTTTAATGCCTTCCATTATTTCACTATAGCCCTGATGTCATTTCACTGTTGCCCTGTTATCAAAGAACTATGAATTAATTTAATCTTTAGGGAATATTACATGGGGCCCAGATTAAACATTCTTCATGACGTTGATGCACATATGTGGTTAAATAAAAAATGAAAAACAAAACTGATTGTTTTAACTTGAGGTAGCTGTATTAGAAGCCAACATTCATTGAGCACTTAACACACACCAGACACTGTATAAATAATGTTATCTTATTTAATGCTTGTACCCACCCTATGGGGTAAGTACTATCCCCATCCTGACTTTTTAGGTAAGATGTTAGAGAATTAAATAATTTGCTAAAAAGTGATGGATCTGGGGCTTGAAAGCTTGAATTTTATCATTGGCGACAAATGCTGCCAGTTTATTGTCCTTGAAGTATGGGCTTACTTTGGATGCAGCTGTCTTGATTCACGCTGTGGTTTTATAACAATTGCTTCTGTACTGTTAGTGAAAGGCAATAGCCTCTAAGTGTTCTAATGAAAATAGGGAACTGCCCAAAAAATACAAAAACACGGGGCACCTGGGTGGTTGAGCATCCCACTCTTGGTTTCAGCTCAGGTCATGATCTTGGGGT